ACATGCGAGAAAAGTATGTTAACACACAAGATATTATATATACATATACATTAAATATGGAGATAACGAACAGTATTCAAGCTCAAAGTCCATTAAAACAATACAAATCGGGAGCTGAGCAAATACGGGCCTCCAAAAATATCAGAAGTGGGACCAGGTGCCATGAAGGAGTGAGCATCCCCTGCATGAAAGAGAATACACTGTAGTTGACCTGCAGTTTACCAAACTTTTCAGAGAATAGGTATATTTACTTAATAATTAACGCCTGTATCGGACACCTGGCATACAAGATACAACATATTGTTGTGCTGACATGCGTCTTACGTCAACATCCGAGTTTATTAATTTAGTCGGCATACAGACTAATCATGTTGACATGCGACTTATTTGTTTCGACATGCGACTTTTAAGTAGATAAAGACATGCGACTTACCAGTTAAGTATAATAAAAGTGTCAAAATGCATGTCGACACAAATAAATCGCATATCGAAATAATAATGTTGCATGTTGACATAACTTTGTTGCATGTTGACATGATAAAGTCGCATATCGACATAACTAAGTCGCATGTCAGCATAATTAGGTTGTATCTTGCATGTATTATGTCAAATACTTAAATAAATACTTAACTAAATGTTTCTTTCCATATTCAAATCAAATTCGCTTAAAAGTTTATATAGCTTGCGTGATAATTTATTAACTTGCATGTAAACATAATTATCATACTTTTCTGGCGTGTTGACATAATATGTCCTCCATGTAGGGACAGAAGTATGCCACCCTACCTAAAATTTCAAATTAGGTGAACAGTATTCAATGTTGATCTCTTACTTGCAATGAAACTCTCTTGAAAGGTTATGTTAGATCTTATTATACAATGTAAATAAAAACTCTACTTTTGCTGCATACATGTATTTTGTTTTTTGACACTGTTTATGATCATCGTAAAGATAAATCCAGGCATTATGATTCAACCAATTTAATATTATGTAGCTGTATTTTAAAACACAAACTGTCGCCCGCGTGGCGCAGTGGTTAGAGCGTTTACTCTAGAGTCGCGAAGTAAGGAGTTGATCCTTACGTCGCGGGTTCGAATCCCACTGTGGGACTTGTAGACCGGTCCTTCGGATGAGACCGTATAAACCGAGGTCCCGTGTCGCAGTAGGTGTTGGCACGAAAAGATCCCTCACTGCTCAATGGCCGTAAGTGCCGAGCATAGGACAAAATTTGCAGCTCTCCACCGGTAAGTGGTGGCGTCTCCATATAAGTGAAAAATTCTCGAGAGGGACGTTAAACAACATACAAACAAACAAAAATAAAACACAAACTTGTCTCTTTTAACGACAAACGAAAAAGGATGTTTATGAGTATCTAAAAATTTGTGTGTTCGATGAGCTTTGAATGGTGGCATATTTCTGCCTCCTTCATGCAAGATAAGTTATGTCAACATACGAAAAAAGTATGTCAACATGCAAGAAAATTATGTCTACATCCAAGATAATTATAGTGACATGCAAGATTTCAATCTTTTTAGAGAATCTGATTCTAATATTGGTAAATGTTCTTACTAACTGACATTAAACATGCTATATGCAACATAATTATGTTGACATGAGACTTAATTATGTTCACATACGAGTTAATTATGTCAACATACGAGTTAATTATGTCAACATACGAGTTAATTATGTTGACTTGAGACTTAATTATGTCAACATACGAGTTAATTATGTTGACATGAGACTTAATTATGTCAACATACGAGTTAATTATGTTGACATGCGTCTAGGGGCAGACATATGCCACCATATCATTGAAAAATATTTAGTCCATTTTTTTCTTTTCACATAAACTCAAGTTGTACACAGCAGAATCAGTGCGGGATGCTCAGGTAAAAAGAAGTTTCACGTACATGTATGTTGTCGATCACTCTTGGACAATTTCTGACAGTATAGTTGGTTGTCTTCAAGATGGTTTCAAAGCTTTACTACATCTGCAATATTTTTTTTCCTTTGAATAAATCTGAACATCATGAACTTAGCAGTAACTTTTGATTGATATTAAACCAGAAGTATCTGAGGAGACTGTAGCTCTACTGTTTTTTTTACTTAACAAAAGTAGAGAAAGGTAGCCTTAAAACTTGAAACTATGGCAACAGCAATAAATAGAATATTGGTCCTTGGTCAATTTATTTCTGAGTCAAGTTTAATTGCAATTGAACAAAAATTGTAGTAGGAGTAACATTTTGGAAGAATTTCACAGAGAATTCTTTTTTAGTAATCATGGCAACACTTCAACAAAATCAAACCGATATATAGAATTGTGTATCTTAGTGTAGTCTACTTGTTTACCAAGGTAAATTGTAATGAGATTAAAACTGTAGGAGAAGTAGCATTTTGAAAGAATTTCATAGAAAATTCTATTTTTTAGTGAATATGGCAACCCTGTTCATCGAAATCAAAAACCGATTCCATATCTTAGTATAGTCTACTTGTGTACCAAGTTATATTGAAATTAAACTAAAACTGTAGAAGGAGGTGGGTTTTTAAAGAATTTCACAGAAAGGATGACTGTGCTTAACACCGACTTTTTGGTCTTTTTCGGTCGCTTCTGTATCTTAACCATATTTCACTTTTGTATATTTATGAAAGATTTCTGTCAATTTGGAACCAAATTTCAATGTTAGAATGCATGATTTTAGATTGTGATACAATAAAATGATTCTATGTTTTTTTTCCTTACTGTTTACCAAATTTAGAGAATTTACACTTACCTGCCCTTGAATGAACATTAGGTATGCATGAGAGGTGGAGCTAACATTCATTTGTAAGAATGGATCTAAAATTAGATAAGATAAATAACAACGACATGTGTGAAAAAAAATGTGATCAGTCTTTGCTATCTCCCTCTCCATTCTCTATGACACCAGTAAACTACTGACAAATGTTTCAAAACGAAATTAACAATATGAGCACGTCTATGTAATTAAAGAAGATTTTAAATCAATGTCAGACGATTTAAAGTGTTCGAAAATATTAGTGATATCCTAGATAGCATAAAACATGCTGCCTTACAAGTCACGTGACGGAATTTAGTATTCACAAAGTTACCTGAGGTAAGAAATCAAGTGGTGAATTGTAATAATCAACACGTCACAGCCCTTAGTTACAACAGAGAGAGCGAATGTAAGAAGAAGCAGATTTTATATAAATGGTTGTAATTCCTAACGGCAGCGGCTGGAATCAAGGGCAGAGAATCAGTGCTACTATGAACGCATGTTTGTCTATTAATCTCCTTTTGACATCGTTATTAATGCAAATACATGTATACAACTACTGTGAAACAGAGAACAATAGACAAATATGCGCTGACTATGTATGGAGTCAGTAAACAAGAGGCCCATGGGCCACAACGCTCACCTGAGTAACTTTGGCCTTCTGTTCTTCACCAGATTTTCTCCTTTGGAATACCTATTGTGTCCCCCTCCCCGGGGGTCATGATTTAAGCAATTTAGAATCTACACTACCTCAGAAAGCTTCCACATATTTTCAGCTTTTCTGGCCCAGTGGTTCTTGAGAAGAAGATTTTTATTAAAGACTTTTTTCTATGTATTTCAAGGTAAGACTTGGATTCCCTATTGTAGCCCCATCCTACCTCTCAGGCGTCATGATTTGAACAATTTAGAATCTACACTACCCCAGGATGTCGTAATAACGAATTTAGAAAGTCGTAATTACGAGATAAAAAGTCGTTATTACGAAATAAGAAGTCATGATAACGACTTAAGAAAGTTGTAATAACGATACAAAAAGTCGTTATAACGAGATGAAAAGTTGTTATTACGAGATAAAAAGTCGTTATTACGACTTTCTTAAGTCGTAATAACGACTTTGTTAAGTTGTAATAATTACTTTTTATCTCATTATTTCGACTTTCTTCGGGCGTAATAACGACGTTTTAACTCGTAATTAACCCCCCCCCCCCCCCGGTCCTTCGGATGAGACCGTATAAACCGAGGTCCCGTGTCGCAGTAGGTATTGGCACGAAAAAGACCCCTCACTGCTCAATGGCCGTAAGTGCCGAGCATAGAACAAAATTTGCAGCTCTCCATCGGCAAGTGTTGGCGTCTCCATATGAGTGAAAAATTCTCTAGAGGGACGTTAAACATACAAACACCCCCCCCCCCCCCAAATGAATAAACTAAAATTAATTTATTATTTATATTCTTCAATATGAATCATCTATCATTATCTGTTTATATTCCATAGTATATTGACAGTACAGTCTAGTAAGTTGAAAAGCAGTAATTAGGGATTCTACATAGAATCCAAATATCCTGTGTGTGAGTTAGAAAATTGCACATCATTTGTATTTTGGTAGTCAGAGCTTGACATGCGACACCTTGAACGTCCATCAAAAATGATAAATAGAATATATCAACTGCTAATATTCGAAAAATTATAAGATTTCATTTTTAAATTTTTTTGGCAAGGTCTCTTTTTTCATATTTAGATATGTTTAAAAAAATCCTTTTTTTCAAATTCTTGAAAATTTGGGTAGGATTTCTTGCAAAATAACTTTAAAAATTGACCATTAAGAAAGAAATCCTCTCATTCAATCTAAAATGCTGGAAAATGCACCATTTGGAGCATTTTAAAAAAATAATTTCATGGGGGAGGTCCTCCGAACCCCCACAGAAAGGGGAACCCCCTTCAGCCCCACTGGCCTCAAAAAACCTCACATGAACTTCTGGATCCATCACTGTTTACCATGTGGTAATTTTTATCACAAACAAAAATTTTATGAAAAAGGGGATCAGGGCCTCTATCCAAGTATGCTGTAGAAATATTCTACATTTAATGCTTGCTTCAATAATTAAGCAAACATGTTGCATGGTTATCTATAGACAAGGTTTCCAATCAAGACTTTAGTTTATTTATTTATTTTTTTTTGCAAATAAAGGCTAAGATCCTCTCCTTCTGAAAAATATAAGAAAATCTACCATGTTAAAGACTTTATTGTATTACTTTCAAAATGTAAAATAATCAATCATAGTCCTTGCTCCATTCTATATCTTGCAAAGAGAGATAACTCTTCGTCGGTCCTGCGACATTAAAATTTGTGTCCTACAGCTCACCACAGAAAGTGTCCAAAAACAAAGAAATGCATTAGAATAATTTTTGTAAGGTGGTAACATTTAGATACAGTTTATCAACAATTAAAAAAATCTTGATTAAAACAGCACTGGAAACTACTATACATATCAAACAATTTGGCAGTGCATTTCATGCTTATCAAGATTTCATACCAGGAAATACTGCATAAAGCCTTAATTTGTGTTTTATTTTTGTTATTTCACCTTAAAACAAAACTTTGCAATAAAAAAAAGTTTAGCAAAATTTAATGTACTTGTATAAGTAATAACAACAGAGCAAATGTGGACTGTGTTCAAAAATGTGAAATCATCAGAAAAACCAGAGCTGCAAACAGTAGTTACTTTCAAATTTTCTGAAAACAACATTTAGCAAACCAGTACTTCTGTAAAACATCTCATAAGTAATAATACACGGTGCTCTCAAATATATTTGTGCACAAATTCAATGGTTCTGGAAATTGTTTCCGTTATTTATTTTTTTAAAAGTAATTACTATGTTGTTTTTACCAAATTCGAATTTTCATTTTCATTAACAAGACTTTTAATAATACATGTCATACAGAGACATTAATATTTAAACATGACTGCCCTGACAAAAATGCAAAAAACATGTATGTAAACAACTTGCTAAATAAACCCCATCATTTTAGCAATAACCAACACATCGAAAAAGGACCATTATCCTATTTGCCATAAAGTAGCCCCATAGAGCATTATCAAAAAAAAAAAAATTTGAAGGACAAAACTGTCCATATAAAATAAGAAAATTTATGGTCAGTGTTACTCTAAATTGATTCAATCAAATTTAATATTTCAATAAATAATTGAAATCACAATCACTATTGCCCTAGTAGTGAAATGATATAAAGTGACAACATTACAACAAAAAAGCATAAATTTACCAGTGACAGAAGAACATGTGTAAACGGTGTATAAGAAAAAAGCAACAAATCATCAAAAGTTTCTGGAGGAAACCAGCACATTCAGATTCTCTTATCCACCACTGTTTTTTCTGAAGACAGATATCTGATGAATAATGTTCCTTTTACATTTCTCAAAAGAGATATATTGTTAGAGAAGATTAAATCCGTAAGTCTGAAAAATTTTCAAACATTATGCTAAATACAAATTCAATTTTCAGTTCAATTTTTTCTATGTATAATTAACCATATAGTTCATGTATATTAAAAAAAATTTAAAAACAGACAACAAGCCATAAAAGGGGGGAAAAATCAACCATCCATCATGGGTTCCAAGTGCCATACTAAATGAGCTGTAAACTCTAGGCGATTTCCTAACTTCTTTAGACATTTTCTGCAAGTAAATGGGTCTTCTTCATCTGCATCATGTAAAGAGCTGTGTAGCAGGCTCATGGAGTAGTCCTCAAAGTGAATACTACAATGTTCACATTTCCACATCTTCTTTTCGGCCGTAGCTGGTGTTGTTGCTGGAGATTCTGCTTGTTTGATCTCAGTGGTCTTAATTTTGTCCACTGCAACAGCATTGCTGTTAATGCCTAGAGTTTTCACAAGACTTTTGAATGTGTTTCTTGGATAAGGGTAATTCATCTGGATCTTCTTTCTCACAGCAGCCTTGTAACTAGCAGGGCCTAGCTTAATCTTGCTGGGTTCTGCCAAAGTCTGGGAAGTGATTGGCTCAGTATAACTGGTCACTTTTGCCCCTGTTTTAGGATAGACCATAATTTCTGTTACCTTTCTTCCATTCCCTATGCTCTTTGTGCCTGTGCTGAAGTGTATAGCTGTTTCACTTTCATCAACAGTAGGTTTCTTGTCCACTTCTTCAGATTCTGTGTCATTTTGCCACATATCTTTAACAAACTTTGAATCAGAGGAGTGCACAGAAATTCCAGAATTCTTAAATCCATCTAAATTTTCTTGTGCACTGCTTTCCTCATAATCATCCATTGGTTCACTCTTAATGAATTTTTCCATTAGTTCTGGGGATATGTACATTGTACCATCAGTATCAATAGTGTCTGCATCATTTAATATTTTATCTGCAGTATCCTCTTCATTTCCATTGGTGTAATCCAGCTTTCGACTTGCTCTTGCCAAAGAGCTGCTTTTTCCATCATTTGATTCATCATCCATGTCTTCATCCATGTCCCTTATTATGGTTGTTGAAACACTAAATTTAGCCAAACCGATTACCATTAAGTTCTCACTGTCAACAACCTTCTTAGGATTGCTTTGTTGAATCAGCATTGCACCTTCAATGTCAGCTGACTCTGTCACAGTTGGTTGGCCGAGTGCCTCATGGCTTGTCTTGTGAGACTGGAGCTTGTCAGCATCATCAAACGCTTCTCCACACTTGTCACAGGTAAAAATCTGACTTATACTGTGAGATACTTGAAGATGACTAAAAAGCGCTTGACGGGTATTAAACTTCATGCTGCAAATGCGGCAGGTATTTTTCTCCCTTTGTGGCAAGTGTGTTTTTAAGTGTTGTTTGACGTGGTCTGATCTTGTAAACCTTCGTCCACAAACATGGCAGGGATAAGGGCGCTCTCCACTATGGACTCGCACATGCCTCTGAAGTTTTGATGGGGTCGAGTATGTCTTCCCACAAACAAAACAAGAGTGGTTTGAGACTCTCCCTGGCTTGGAATGACATGCAATATGCTGCTTCATATCTTCAGGTGAATCAAACTGCCGAGCACAATATCGACACATGTATCTAGTGACAACTTTTAAACTTCCCTCTACTGCATCACTTGGAGTAACATCAGTCTTAGACACAAGGCAATGGAATGCATTTTCAATCTCTTCACTTGATGGAGCCTTAGTTGAGAACTGTGATCTGCTATCTTCCGATTCTGGTGGGGGAGAGGGAGGTTCTATTTTGGGTGTAATTTGAACAGAAAGGACGGGTTCTGTTTCCATTGTGAAGTATGAGTTGGAGGACATTATGTAAATGTATTATCTACAATAAAAAATATAATTAAATTAAATATAATTCTTCAGTAAAAAATGATATGAATCACGGGCAATGGAATTTCATGAAAATATATAGTAGGTGCATGCATCCTTTCTTACACATGCACCTACTGTATATTTACATTAAATTCCAGTACCCCTGATAATGTTTGTTATAATGCTACTTTCTGTTTGATCATGTTGATATAGAATTTTTAAAATATTATTTTATTTTGTTGGTGGAGGGAGAAAAATAAAAAAAGAATCATTTGAAACTTAATAAGATCTCCCGTTTATTAAATCTGAGCAGCTTCACTATTCTATATTTCCGTAATAAAAACTAAAACTAAAATGTTATTCTTATTGATTTTTTCTTTCAGAACCCCCTAAGGAACCTCAAGCAGCGAATTTCTTGTTCTATGTCCTGGTTTGGTGTTTACATTACATAAAAATTAAAAGAATTTATATCTTTAACATTTCTGGCTTGGGCTCTCATGAATATAATTAGTTTATTTTGCAACTACCGACTGCTCATTACAGCTAGCATTTCTGGGTTTCGTTCACCCAGAGGACCCATTGATCACAGCGCCATCTAACATACGAGTGAATTTGTAAACACGACCTAATTTTGCGCAAGTCCCTCCAAAACGCACGTGGAACTGTGTTTCGAAATTTTACGCCGAAAGTCGACTCAAAAATGCTCGTCTTGTTTCCCATTTAAATTAACTGGGTTTTACTACAACTTGTATTTTTAGTGAGGGGTTTTTATTAGCTCCTTTAGAGGCCCCTCGTTCCCCAATAAGTATTTCAATGGCGGCGAAGGGACAAACACAGAACATTATTAAATCCCTTGACATTTTACGATATATTTTTTAATATTTACATTCGGCCGATGTAAAACAATGCAATAAAACCATTATCACTTACCTTAATAACCTGCGAAGGGAGTCGAAGTTGAGAATCCCTATTTTTGAAACAAAGGGTCAACCTCGCTATGCAAACAGCCTTCGCCGAGGGAAATTATTTCCGCTGAAATGCAAAGGAGTAAAGGGCCATAACTCTAATTTGTTTACTGGCATTTAAACTATTCATTAACTCTCGGCGCGATTCTGCATTATTGGAGAAAAAAATTCATTTCAGACACAAATTAAAAGAAATAAGTAAAAATTACATATAACAAAGTAAAAATTTTTGATCAATAATTCTGTAATATTAACGATAAAATTGATATACTGGGGGCTTTACTTGCAATCAAAGATCCATATATATATATATATATATATATATATATATATATATATATATATATATATATATATATATATATATATATATATATATATATACCAAATCAGGGCCCAAATGGGCATAAACAAATACCAAATATTGTTATAGAGTTAATTGTATAACCCTTAGATAATGTTGTTTAAGTTTATAATAATGATTTTAACTTATATAACTACTAATCTGAATTTTTTTAATGCCTCTGATATATTAGGTATGTTTCATAGATTTCGGTAGGTATAACGTAAGTAAAAGAATCTAAATTTTTAAATAGAATGTATTCTTAGCCTTAGACAAAAGTTGCATTGATAAGAACTGTGTACTGGTCAGCCAGATGGCTGTAGACGGGAATTAAGGGTTTAAATTGTTCCCGTTTTACACACATTTGAATTTCAGGTATTGAAAAAATGTGTGCAAAACGGGAATTAAACCATGTAAGATAATTACTTAATTGCTATAGTCTATATCATATCAAAAAAAAATTATGATTAATTCTGCATTTGATATTTTATTTATTTCTGTAATTTCATAAGAAGAGAAAAATATTTTAAAACATAAAAAATACCATAAATACTTATCAAAACTTTAATTATATTCATATGATACTAACTGGACAAGTTCATTTTTTTTAATTAATCATGATTTAATTCTTTAAATTAATTCTTCTAAATATATATCGTAATGCATTGGTAATTCCAGGTAAATCCCAGACGGAGATCAGACTCTAACTGCTATCAAAACATATTTCACACCTATTGTTCCATACCTAATTATCAAATATGTGCAAAATGGGAATACGCCGACGGGAAGATGGGACTTCCTGGTGAGCTAACGGTCATTTGATTTTAGCACCAGCATTGATTTTATAAACCGTTAAAGAGACAACTAGAGCTTGCAGTTCTCCTAACTAAGATCCCGAGGATGTCAGAGGCATCATTAAGAGCTGTCCTTAAAATGGTATATTTTCATAATTGGTTAATGTGTTAATTTAAACTGCATGGTGGTTTTATGGTAAAAGCAATATGAACTGCAACTTTGATGTTGAAAAGGATGACTGCACTTAACGCCTGTTTTTGGGTCTTTTTCGGTTGCTTCTGTTGCTTTTATTTCTAAACCTTATCTCACTTTTGTATGTTTATGAAAGAATACTGTCAATTTGGAACCACATTTAAATCTTAAAATGATTTTAGACTGTGATACAATAAAATGATTCAGTGTTTTTTGTCCTTACTGCTTTCCAAATATAGTGAATTTACACTTACCTGCCCTTGATTGAACATTACGTATGCATGAGAGGTGGAGCTAATATTGTAAGAATGAGTCTAAAATTAGACTTGATAGATAACAATGACATGTTTGGAAAAAAGAACGTGACCACTCTTTCAAATCTCCCTCTCCATTCTGTATGGCACAAATACACTTCTGACAAAGGTTTCAAAACGAAATTAACAATATGAGCACGTCAATGTAATTAAAGCAGATTTTATATCAATGCCAGATGACTAAACGTGTTCGAACACAATGTCCTAGTTAGCACATGCTACCTTACAAGTCAAGCGACGGAATTAAGTATTCACAAAGTTACCTGAGGTAAGAAATCACGTGGTGAATTATAATATTCAACATGTCACAATCCTTGGTTACAACACAGAGAACGAATGTAAGAAGAAGCAGTTTTTTCTCTTTTTAACCATGAGCGCATGTTTGTCTATTAATCTCCTTTTGACACATTATTATTTATGCAAATATACAACTATTGTTAAACGTAGAACAATAGACAAACATGCGCTGACTATGTATAAAGTCAGTGAAAAAGTGGGCGTCCTCATTATCGAACGGAGATTTAAGAAATTGTGATGACCCCTGCCTTTGAAAACAGATTCGAACTTCGTAAATATACACTTTTATTAAACGTAATTAGATAAAGTTGTAGATTGGATGTTGACCATTCTTGCGATGAAAAGAAAAATGTTTGTTTTGAAAGTTTATTTTGTCGCAAATTCCGCATGTCCTTAAGTGCAGTCATCCTTTTTGTTATAAAATTATAATTAACTATTACAGTGACAGAAAAAAGAATGTCTATAAACTTTTGTTGTTCATAGATCTATTTGCAGTGGAAGAACTATTTATATTAAGCTTTGATTGAAGCGAAATTACATTATTATCATCCTGTACAATATTTATTTCTTATATAATGCTATACGTTTCATTGTACAGAAATTTTTCTTCTGAAACATTAATTTTAGAACTTTATTTTCGTCTAATTGATCATAAAGGATTAGGTTAAATACATATTTATCATAACAGTATATTTGAACAGGAAAATAAAATTCTCAGAAACGCAGCTCATATTGCTTATCAAATAATTGAATTAGTTTCTTTGGTAAATTTAGGTGAAATCTGGATTATTTATGGTATGCTTATAGAATTATTGAAACTTAACTTTAATAAAATATGAATTAGCTCATTACGTATACTACTGGTGACGTATTTACACCGAGTTACAGGTGTTAAATGAGCAGCAGGACCTTGAGCTGAAATAAAAAATCCTGTCGATCAATTTTTTTTTTTTATATTTTGTATATTACTAATTTAGAATGCCCTACATATCATAAAGCAGTTCTTTCATCAGATTCCTTGACTTATTTAAGAGATATCGCTGCACAAATATTGCTCTGTACCGTGTCTTTGTGAAGTTTCTTCTTGTTACGGGACCATTACCGAGTCCATTTTTAAATACAAATAAAAAGATGTGTAGGAGGACATGTGTTTCCTCAAATATTTTACAATATGAATTGAGTTTAACATTTTTATTCCACACTGCATATGGATTGAATAAATTACGCACTTTTCGAGACAACTTTAACGACAAAAAACTCATTTGTGAAAAAATTCTGTCAATAAATATTGTAATAATTACGACTAAACTGAAGTTCTTCATTTTAATAATTAACTGTAAAAATATCGAAAGGTGAAGCTTATCCCAATGTTGCACACAACATCGTTAAACACGACGTAATCGTGATAAAAACACTGTGTTCATATTTTCCAAGTACAGGAAAAACAACTATGACCTCACGCGAAAGCCTTTGCGAGAGATTTCTGCTAACATCCAAGCAAAAATTATGATTTTCACTTAATACCACAAAATATAGGCTGACAGTCACCTGATTCATATAATAATGTTGACCGTGTAATCAAGTGCATGGCCGTAGGAACCAGGAAGGGGGGGGGGCACAGGGGCGTGCCCCTCCCCCCAATAATTTTGCCGATATATAGAACAAAAAAACATAGCTACTATATGCTTGATCCTCCTCAGTAATAACATCTGATGACATTTCTTTTGTTTAAGAATTTTTGGTAGTAAGTTGATAGTGCCCCCCCCCCCAACTGAAAACGTATGGACGTGCCTCCTCAAATTAAATTTGCTTCCTATGGGCCTGAAGTGTACATGATCTTGCTGTACTTACAGATTATGTATGACATCACTTACTTGTTAAACGCGCAGTGTAGGGGAAAAAGAGGAGTGGATCAATCTTATTCACAATTTATAAATATTGATACGAATTTTAAAATTTTGAAATATTTCCATATAAGATAATAAAGCATAACAATTTGAACAAAAATTACACAACTACTGACGATTTTAATAACTTTTTAGCATGTTTTTTAATAGGGATTATGACGTAGTCAGTTATGTCATGTGACATGTGTCCTGCAGCCCCTTATAGAAAGCTGTTGGTGGCGTTGATTCAGCATAGCTTTACAGCAGCAGAAGCATTGGTAACAAAGAGTTGATGGTATCAATTCACCATAATTTATTCACCAGAATTTTTTTTATCCAAAACTTCACCTGTAGTTTTCTTTAAATAAATAGAGTTATAAATAGTTTCATGGGTGTTTGAATTCATTCATTTTATCTCATTGTTTGATCAACAATCCCACATTATTTTTGTTTGTATTTTTAATAAACTCCCAATAGTGTTTTTAGAATTCTGGATTTATTTTCTTGTGAATTTCCATATTGAGGAGGTTGCGCTACATTAAACTAGAAGCTTGTCAAATATCCAAACCCTCAGTAGTTGGGTGGGCCCACAAGGAGAGATAAAATTTTTACATAGGAATATACAGAAAATCTTTAAAAATCTTCCCAAGAACAGCAAAGCCATGATTAGTCATGTTTGAATGGAGGCATCATCAGGTAGTGTAGATTCAATTTTTTTCAAATCATGACCCTCAGGGCTATGTTGGGGCCACAATGGGCGATCAAAGTTTTACATAGGAATATATAAGAAAATTCTTTAAAATCTCAAGAATAGCAAAACAGTTACGAGTCATATTTATATGGGAGCATTGTCTGTACAGTGAGGGTAGGTACATATTGTCACCGGCAGCAATATGAACAGGACGACAACATGTACCGTCACAATGGAGCTGCATGAAATAGCATACGAGACACGTCAGTGTGATTTACATACCAATTACATTCACAAAACCACACGCGCGCGCGCGCGCGCACACACACACACACACACAAAATCTTTAAGCAATAATTTCTGTGGGGCGACATTATGTGCACTGAGGGTTGGCATATCATGTCGCCAGCGGAAATATGTACATTAAAATACCGATGGACGACAATATGTGCAATGAGGGTAGGTACAAATTGTCGCTGACGATATATTCATTTGTACTTGCATAATCTCTTTAATTACAGATG